GCGGAGCGAGGTGGCCCCTGGGCCGGCGTGGCTGCGGCGGCTGCAGGCAGAGCGCCGACGGTCTCCGACTGAACAGGCAGATCCTCCCCGGTTCGCGGGGACCGTCCCGGGGCGCAGCGCGGTCTTCCCCGCTGGCCCGCGCGCCGTCGGAGACCTGTGAACGCGAAAAGCAGGCGGCACACACACCCCTTCGGGACGGACGACGCTGTGTGCCCGTGCGTGTGCACGCCCAAGCCAGTGTCCCGCCTTCGCCCACAGCGCTCGCTCTTCCCGGACGCCCGATTTACACACCAACTCCAATACTCTGATCACAGCTCCTTGTCGTGGGGGCTTGAGTATTTCCTACCTTGTACCCCACCCCGCCACCCCCGCAGACCGTGCCGCCCACGACGGAGAGGGTACTTAGAAGCAATCCTCCGGTTTGGGTTTGGGGAGCAGATTATGTAACCGGGCGGAATAGCGGTAGATGGTCAGACACTTGCAGGTGCAGTGTTACTCCCGCTTCCCCGATCCCGCAGTTGCAAACTGGTTGCTCGACTGCTTTTTACAGCAGACTGTCAAGGAAAATAAAGCCTGTTCTGCTGAGTAATTAGGGAGCGACAAGCTTACGGAAATACCTGGCTGGACCCCTCCCTAGGTCCTGTCCAGAGTTCCCAAGTTCCACTCTACAATCCTCGCGTTTTTTATTTCCGACTATTCCAAGCATGCCTTTGACACTGCAGCGCTAGAAGTCATTGATGAGAGTCAAGGGGGTACAAACGGAACATTTTGAGTTTTCGTGGTAAACAACGTATAGGATGGCAATTGAAGTTTTTCGCACATTAACATTTGCAGTTGCTGCCTGAAGATTGACATCCTCCTCTAAGAAAGAAACGCATTTTTAGAATTATTGTACTTAGAGAAACCTCTTCCCTCGTGCCTTCCCACGAACAAATGTGCACTTAGCATTATTAGTTTGCTCCTTATGGTGTTCACCATTTGGAAGCCTCTTTATAAATGAGATTGTTTCCCTGCAGCCCACCAGGCCATTAATTAAAGCATCATTTTATGGCAGAAGAATAGCTACTCTGGGAAGACTTGCTAAGTTAGGTGACATCTTCCCCCTGAGCACAGTGGCACTGTGCTTGGAGAGGGGAACAGATCTGTTTGGTGATAACAGGAGTAGGTGTTTTTCTTTGAAGGCTACTTGTGGGATTCTGACATGTTGGCAGTCTTATGTATTTTTAAGTACAGCCAAAATTCCCTCTGGCATTAAGTTGTGATCATGGTGGCTTTGGGTTTTTTGGGGGCGAGTTTTTGTTGTTGTTGCAGAGTTCTTACCACTTCTACAGTAGGATGCTCAGCTCCTAAGTGGGATGAATTACTGGTTTTTGCTTTTTAGAAGGTCTGATTGGGGGGTCAGGAGATGGCATGGTGGATAAAGCGCTTGGACTCCCACATGGCCAACCTTGGTTTGAATGGTTGACCTGGTGTCTTGCTTTTTCATTTTCCCTTTCTTTCTCTGGTCAAATTTAAAAATAATAATGATAAATAAAATAAATCATTCTTTTTTTTTAAAAAAAAAATGTCTGATTGCATAAACTTCTGCTTGTTTAGATTCCTTTTTTTTTTTTTTTTTGGAGAGGTTTTTGCTATAAGGCGCGTGCACTCGCCAGACAGACAGAGAGAGACAGAGAGACAGAGCAGGACTTGCACTGCGGTCGACTACATGGGAGTCCAGCAACAGCCATTACACCAACTGCTGGTTCCTTGCTTGTTTAGATTCTAACGGAACAAATACTTCAATGGTCCTATAGAACAGAACCAGTGCGTGTAATCCAAATCTTCAGTGCCTTCCAAGTCATCAAACCATTATACGCTGGAACACAAAATTGAGCCTTTATTGGGTACAATTTACATTCAGTAAAAAGTGTTCTACTTTTTGGAGGGACCAGCAGGTGGCATAATGGTTACCTGCTGGACTCCCACTTAATTGAGTCAAAGTCCCAGAACCAGTGGCTTAAAACACCAGGCACCTTTGTGTGCGTGCTCAGAATCCCAGGAGACTGGAGAAGAAGTGATTGCAACGTGGCCTTCCTCCCTGGGAGGGTGATTTCTCACTTTCTGTTTCTCTTGTCTCTCTGGCAAGTACACGCCCTAGAGCACAAACCTCTCTTGAAAAAAAAAAATTCTACTTTTTTTTTCAGTTTTGTTTATTAGAAATTGATATGTGGCGTACTTACTGTTAACTTTGTACATCAAACTAGTGGCTGAGCCAGCGGTTCCTATACCAGCTGTTCAGGTGGTAGGAAGTCAAGGCTGGGAGGGTCTGTGTTTTTTTGCATTTGGTTAATAACATTTTAAGCTTCTGTTACATGATATTGAAAAATCTGCTTTCTTTCCTTTCTTCATAGTTTTTCATCTACAAATACCAAGAAGGCCATGCAGATTAAAGAAAATGTCTAGGGGCCGGCAGGTGGCATGGTGGTTAAAGACACTGGACTCCCACGTGGCTGACTGTGGTTGAAGTCTCAGACCTGGCAGCTTGCTTTCTCACTTTCTCTCTGTCTCTTGTCTTTCTCTGACTAAATTAAAGCTAATAATAATAATAAATAAAGTTAAATACAATATTTCTTTAAAAGAAAAAGCTTCTAGTCCGATAGTGTAACATGGAATTATTCATTTCTTTCACTTAAGTTTAAATAAAGCAGAGAAATAGTAACTAGTGGGTCCTCTGACTCCTGGAGTACGATATAATAAGGATCCTAAGTTGAAAACAGACCAGTTAATTTTTATTCATGTGTATATTTACAAGCGTTCCTGCTGTGAACTACGATGCTCTTACTGAATAGTTCGTCTCTACATTGTATATCTGCATCATGTTTTCCCTTGGGGATAAACAGCGATTTCACCAGCACACAGTGACTCGTGTGTTCATTAAATTTTTGTTGACGAAGGGTTCCTGACAACACGCAGGTTCTGTAAAGCAGCGTAGCGTTGCCGTCTGTGTCGGTGTGAACCCAGCCCGATCCTGTGGCTTTTAGCTTGCCTGTCTCTATAGGATTCCATTTTCCAAGCTTTTCGCATCCAGAGCATTGGTGTTTATTTCCTTAATCTATAAAAATTTAACGTTTTTCTCAGAGTTTTACATTCCCCCCTTGCTTACACACACGTCCATGCACGCACACTCTGGCTCTTCCCCTCCAGCTCGTACATAGTTCCTGTTAGTCGTTGAGGAATTAATCCTGACTGCCAAACTGTCACACAGACATGGAGAGAATCCTCAGAGAAAGTTACCACTGTGTGTTTGTTTAACTCTAGATATTTGTAGAGCAATTGAGTTGTTGGAAAAACTACAGCGAAGTGGAGAGGTACCACCTCAGAAACTTCAGGCTTTACAGAGAGTCCTTCAGAGTGAGTTCTGCAATGCTGTGAGAGAGGTGAGTAAATGTCATTAAAATTTACTGAAAATGTAGGGGCCTCCATTCTCCTCTTGGACATGCATACATGCCCAGCCTGAGTTTCAAGCCGCTGGGTCTGGGACTCGAACCTCAATTGACTATGTGAAGTCCCGCAATGTAACCAGTACACCATCTGCTGGTCCCCATTTTTGTAATTTCTGATAGAACAAGCCATGCTTTGCCTAAAATCTTAACACTCGTAAACACCAGAAAAAATTCAGAGTTGACGTATTCCCAGAGTTAAAGGATGATGAGCACTTTGGGTTTTCCAGGTCTATGAACACGTCTATGAGACTGTGGACATCAGCAGCAGCCCCGAAGTCAGAGCTAATGCGACCGCAAAGGTAAATTTCATCGCTCTCCAAAATGACAATTCTTCATACGTTAGAGATTTAAATATGCAGTTACCATATTTAGGATGAGCTTATTTTGACTAACGCTCTTTCAAGCTAAACTAAACTTCTCAAGTACTCAGACTTAAGACAGTTTTTTAATGGCTGTATAAGAGATATTTTGTGCAATTTAGATGTCAAGATACTTGAACACTGGTAATACCATACATGTGCTGCACATAACCGTGTTATATTGTTTGTACGCACACATGATGCCATTAGCTATGCATATTTTCATCCCAGTCTGAGGTGTGAATTATTATCCCTGTTTAATGAGGAAGCAGCAAGGTGAAGTTCCTCTCCTCAGCACAAAGTAGGAAGTGCCGGGCTGGGTGCTCCCCGGGCTGCTCCGTGTCTTGCCTTTACTTGAGCTTTGTAAATGCAGGGTCATGTTAGTGGTCGTTTCCTGCTTCAGAGCTGCAGGCGGCAGGTCTTGTGCACTCCGGTGTTCATGCTTTCCTCACGTAAGTCGAGCGTCGGCCTCGATGTCTCTCTCATGTGATTAGAATAAGTTACTATCGGCAGTGGGTAACTTTTACTAGATTTAGTCATTAGATGATAATTTTTATTGATAGTTACCAGTTTACAAAAGGAACACTGGCTTCTCTGTTAAATGCCAACACTTCAGTGTGGATGTTGTTTGTCAGAGTAGGAGAGACCAGAGAGACTTGATTTCAGTTCCTGAGTTCTGTGATCCTCACAGCTTGTCCAACTTCTGAGCCTTAGTTACATTGTCTATAAAAGGAGGCTGCCTTTTACCCCCCCCCCCCCCCCGAGAGGAAAGTTTTTTTTCTTGCGGGTTGTGTAAATTTTTGCTCTAGGGCGCTTGTGCTTGCTGGAGAGACAGAGAAATAGAAAGCGAGAAATCACCCCCTGGGGGGTGGCCATGCCGCAATCCCTTCTCTGTTCTCCTGAGATTTTGGGCATGCATGCACACACACCCAGCATGAATTTTAAGCTGCTGTGTCCAAGACTTGAACCACGATCAACTACGTGGGAGCCCAGTAATGTAACAATTACGCCATCTACTGATCCCAATGAGGCCTTTTTGAGAACTTCAGAGATAATGAATATTCAACACATCTTCATTTCCTTACTCTGGTCTCCCATATTCGTTCATGCACGATGATCCAGATTACATAAAATGGTAAAAATGGTACCAGATTACATAACGGTGTCTAAAAGCAGTATGAAACAGTAAATCCCAACTTTGTGTTAGAGTTAATCTAGATTTGCCTCACTTTGAGTTGTAAAGGTGTGGCTCCGTTTTACTTTCTGTGGGGTTTTTGTTGTGACTAGGTAGTTAGCTAAAGCAACGGAAACACATTCAGGTAGGTACCCTTCTTCATTTCGATACTGAGTTACTTCCTGACACAGTGTTCTTAGTGGATAGGACACACAAAGCAGCTGTCTGTCATGGTGAGTTGTTTAAGTAGGTTATGTACCAAGACCCTGAAGGAACTGGACTGTCCAGTTCTAAAACTTGGGTCTCTTGGCGTGCTGAGGGAGGGGTCCTCTACTTCAGTGTGCTGGAGTTTATCCCCCAGCAGCCCAGAGGAGCTGGGAGAGACCTCGAACACCCGAACCTTTCTTACATGATCCCAGAGCGTTTATCCTTCTCCGTTGTCATCTCTACTAGCTGTGCTTAACTTGCCTTCTCAGAATGGCCAGTGAATTTGTGGTCATTCAGACATCAAAAATGTACCTCAAAGGTGGTTTTTAAAAGAACTGAGGTAAACAAAGGTCATTTTTTAAATATGTAAAAATTGTCTTTTAGGCTACTGTGGCTGCATTTGCTGCCAGTGAAGGACATTCCCATCCTCGAGTCGTTGAGCTGCCAAAAACAGAAGAGGGCCTCGGGTTCAATATTATGGGAGGCAAAGAGCAGAACTCACCAATCTACATATCTCGGATAATTCCAGGCGGAATTGCTGATAGGCATGGGGGCCTCAAACGAGGAGATCAGCTGCTTTCTGTTAATGGAGTAGTAAGGACAGATTTTTTCTCTTTATCATAATGTGTTGTGACCGTTTGGGAAGTGTATTTGAGTTACAGAGACAAAGATGTAGGGGAAAACCTATAGAACTTTAGAAATCCTCTGAAGAACTGTAGGCAGTGCACCTTAGTGCAGAGATTTTTTTTTTTTTTTAATTTTTTATATTGTGGATTTTGCTGCAGTGCATATGCACTTGCCAGAGAGAAGGACAGTGAGAGGGAAGGGGGAAAATCATCCCCCAAGAGAGCTGGCCACACCACAGTCTCTTCTCCTCCATTCTCCTCTTAGGATTTTGGGCACGCGCACACACGTGCCTGGAGTGATTTTCAAGCTACCAGGTCCAGGGCTTGTGGTCGGCCATGTAGGAATCTATTATCGTAACCATTACACCACCTGCTGGCCCCAGTAGTGTTTTTGTTTTGTTTGATTTTTTTTAAGTTCTTTAATTCACTTATTCTCATAATTAGCAGTTCTTAGTGTGATTTTTATTTAATGACATAATTAAAGTCTTTAGTAGTTAAATCAGTACGCTCTAGTCTGCATTTTATTCTTTATTCATAATGGAATATATGTGTGTACACATGACGGAGTGAGCGAGACAGGACACACGTGCGTGCACACGCACACACACACAGAGGCAGCCAGCCCCACAGGGTCTGCTCACCCTCATCCCCTTTTTCCAGTCTTCCAGCCTGTTGGACCAAGGATTTGACCATGTCCGGGGGGTTTGGCTCCTCTTGCGTAGCACTTTACCATTATGTCATGAAGCTGGCCCTCCAACGTTTTCTTACTTCTGTAGAGTGGCAGTTACTGGGCTTCTCTCTGACTTAGTGAAATGATGGAGCATGCGGGTGGCTATGCTAACGATTTGGAACTTAGAAACTAGTTCCTAGCTCATAAGTAGAGTGCGATGAGATGTAAGAGGATTTTACACTAACTAAAATGACAGTACAGGATTATTTTAGTTTACATATGTGTATTCTAAGTCATTTTTTTTACATTCTGAGTTACGTACAAGATGTACGTATTAACTGTTTGTTTGTTTTCCAGAGTGTTGAAGGAGAGCATCATGAAAAAGCTGTAGAACTACTGAAGGCCGCGCAAGGGAAGGTTAAGTTAGTAGTACGGTACACACCCAAAGTCTTAGAAGAAATGGAGTCACGCTTTGAAAAAATGAGATCAGCCAAGCGCAGGCAACAGACTTAACGCAGTTCAAAACCTGATACCCCACTCTGCTTTTCAGCTAGAGAAGTCTCACCTGTGACCTGCTGATGGCCGCAGAGCCGCTGATTGTAAAACAGAAACTCCCCACGAGATCCTCTTTGCCATTTTGTGAATGCCTGTTTTAACATCATTTACGGTTCCTGAGATGCATACATTTTTCTGACAAGAAAAAGTAAAAGGTGATGAGGGCAATTCTGTCCTACTGTTTTTACAGGCCTTTTTCAAATGCAGATTTTGTCATAAAGTTGTTATAGATTTTTAAAACTGCTTTTTTAATATTAAAAAACTTTTACATTCTTACTCTTTTTTTAGAAAAGAAAAGTTTTCTTCATTTGGCTACTTATTTAAAAGTAACAGTTCTTCAGTTCTTTTTTTGTTTATTTTTTTTTAACCTGTGATATTTTTTTCCAAGAAGTTGAGCATAACAGTCCCGCCCACCACATTTCATGCAGTCAGTGTTAATGACACTGCTGCGTTTTGTACTTTGAACATACATGTCATGTATGTAATCAGTGGGAAATCAGAACTCAGTAGTGGAAGTTTTTTACTTTTATTTAAACATAATGTACAGTGGATATTCATTTATACTGATTTAGAAAAGCAAGTTTTTAAACACTGAAACAATCATTGCTAAAATGCATACGCTCATGCTATTTGAGCAGTGAGGCAGGAGGATGTAATTGGATTGTTAGCATAACCGATTGCATCCCTTTCTATTTATAGCCAACAGTGTCAAATGTTAAATGCAAAACAGGTTCAGATGTCACCCTGTACAAATTTTCTAATGGAATTAACTTTTATTTATATTTCCGAATATTTTGGTCCTTCCATTCTAGAGATAAACCCCGTAGTTTGTGGCAGGAAATAGAAGCAAAGAAGAAAAAGCGATACCTTAACCTCACTGTCCTCAACAGTCACTCATTCTTACTTGCTCACTTTAAAGAGTTGATTTTAAATGGGAAGAGGAGAAAAGGATATATTTAAGATGTGTAGAAGTCACGAGGTAATGTATTCATAGAATCTTCAGACTGTCAAAATGAGTGGGAACTCATGTGAAAATAGTTGTGTGTAGAGATGCAATCTTTGTAGTTCAGCTCTATTAGGAATTTTGAGAGACTTGATTTAATTTGTCCACTGGGTGTCACTGTTGTGCTGAAAGGCAGCTACCAGCGTATGACTGACAGGTCTTCTTACAGCCTGAAATTGAAGAGTTGATTATTTTCAGTCACAGTGTGTAAGATCCTAAAATATTTTAAATGATGGATGCTAAAGAATAAGATAATGAGTTGACACTTATAAGGAATTGGCATAATTATCAACCTTGTATAAAAAGTGGGCATTTTGTGACATTCCTTCAGCTAGAATAGAAATGTATGCCCTTTTCTGCATGTCTGTGAGCACTGAGTCTTAGAAGATTATTCCAGTTTTCAATGATTTTTTTTTTTCCAGAATAAAAGTAGTACAAGTCAATCAGCGTTGCTAATTTATGTAGGTGTTGAGCACTGGATTGCATGATGGAGTGTGTCTCCAGTCCACTATGAGATGTGCTTGTAACTGATAGGATCATGTTGTTAAATCGTATATTTTTAAGATTAATCGATGTTTTTAAAATGTTGAGACCAAAGTAGTATAGAAGTATGGACTTATTTTAATTTAATTGTAAAATTATTAGAGGTATTTGTTGTAGAGCTTTATATGTTAAAGAGAGGTATTGGTGCATATAAAACAGTAATATTATTGCTATGCTTGTATTCTTGCATTACAGGGTGAGTAAACCCTGAAGAGTTCTTACTTCAGTGTAGCTACAGCTGCAGCAACTTTTAGGGATGTGTCAACATTTCTTTACAAGTTATAGCTTCCCAGTTCAGTGTCTCAGCTGTCTCAGAACCTCCAGCCAAGTTAAATCTTTTTTGGTGTGGAACTTACTGAGTTGAGTAAGCTATTTTTTCCTTCAGCAGTAATCCACAGTCTGTTCTTTGTGTAGGTTGGCACCTATTCATCATTCTTAAAATAAGGATGGCTTCGAGGAGCCAAATACAGGAGTTTTGCTTGCTACCGTTGAGCGTGAGTAGTGATAGTTTGATTTGTTCATGCAGTTCTCACAGTGGATCCCAGGATTTTATGTCTTGACCGTAGAGGAATTCAGCCATTCAGTGGCCAGGATGTACAGCTCTGGTCTAGCATAGTGAGAAAATGAAGGAAGTTTTTGTCTTACAAGTGGATGGTCATGAATAAAATTGGGCACACAGTTAGGTGTATATAGTAGGTGTTTGGTTTGTAAGTCATAAATCATCCCCCTGCCCAGTTTCCGTTCATTTTCTTGGTTGCTCAGAATGGGTCAACTTAGTATTTCTCAACCTTAGCTTCATATTAGAAAATGCTACAGAGCTTTACAAGATAGTAATGCCATTCATTGTCCCGTCCCATAACAAATACATCAGAATCACTTGTCTTTTTTTTTTTTTTTTTTTAAGTTCTCAGTTGGTTCTAATAGATACCCAGGGTTGAGCTCCACTGTTTTTCCCCTCCATAAAATGAACTAATTATACTGGGCTCTGTTTGAAAGTATCACAGTAGAATAATCCAATTTGCAGCTATTCAGTGATTGATCATATTTCTAGTACTGATCTTAGGAATAAAAGGTGCTTGGCATTCCTTATTTGGGAGGTAGTTGCAGTCTCCCTTTAAAAAATAAATAAATAAATAAACCCTATCACTAGTTTTAAATGTACACTTACATGTCATATTTCTCTGCCCCCTTTGCCATTAAAACTTGACAAAAATAGGTTATCACTGTTTGAGAACTTACGTTTAAAAATTGCACATGGGAAATACTACCATTGGTAATCCCCCCTTGTCTCAATATGGCCACTTCATCCCTTAGTCTAACACTAGGTAAGGTAATAGCCGTCTAGTTCTCCAGGGTTTGATTCAGATATGCCGGTTTTTAAAAAATTACTGTCCTCTTCTTCTAAAGTTAAGGTTTTTTTGCACACATGCTTAAGTAGTTTGGCTCAAGTAACTTTGTTTACAGTTAAAACAGATACTACATCGCTTACTAGGAAATGGTTATGGCTTGTCCAGAAGGAACGTCAGCATGACTTGGTGTAGACGTCAAAGAACACACGTCGTGAATATTCTCTAATGTGGAACGGTCACCACAACAGCAAGGACTAGTCACTGTGTTTCCTGAATAAATGTATGTGTGTGAATTTTCCAACTATGCCATCCTTTTTGTCTCCTCTGCCAACAATCTGGTTTTAGAGTTTTTATTGTCCCAAACTTAACTAGTAATGTTTCTTCAGGGGTTGTTACAATAATGGTTATGTAGTGAAAAATAAATGACTTGCTTATTAATTTTCAAGAACTTTCCAACTAATTTGTATATGGACATGGTTTTTTAAATATTGGCAAACAGTGTGCTTCTACTTTTTTAGTTTGAGATAAATATAATCCCCAAAATGAATGTAAAATTAACACTTTTTTCAATAGATGACTTCATTTATTAGTTTAATTGTGATTCTAAGACTTATTTAAAATAAATTTGTATGAGTTATGTCCTTGTTCTTTGGATTTAAAAAACATCAATACAACTACACAATAGATGTGTTTCTGAAAGCTGTGTATAAAATAAACTTTACACAAGGTAAAACTATGGTTGTTTCTGGAAAAAAAATTTGAATTTCTTTTTGAATTTTGCTTTGTCTTTCATAAAATGCTAAAGAAGAAATTCTCTTGTGTTATTTCAAGAGTGGCAGCATGGCACGTGGTTGACAGCACACACTCTGGGCCCAACCCTCGAATTTGAGTCTCAGGTCCACCATTACCTCGTAACCTAAGAACAAGTCGCTTTGCTTCTCTGTGCTTTGGCTCCTCTGTCAACGGTGGTAAGAGTTGTCAGTGTAAAGCCCTTGGGAGGGTTCCTGACCATATTAAGTATTAGGTATGATTGTATTTTTCATGTAAGATAGCTTCAGGACCTTATCAGCTAAAGGAAATACTTGTGGTGAAATAATGAAAAGTAGCAAGTTCCCTTAGTTTTGATGCCTAGAAAGCAGAAAACCTTTACATTAGTCTTGAAAGTTTCAAGAGTAAGAATCAGAAGGAATGTTCAGATTTCTGTGTTCACTGATAGAGAAACTCGTGGACGTCTGTAGTTAGTGGCGTTTTGAGGGACAGAGGAATGAAGCTGCATTCAGGATGAAAACCACTGCAAGGACGTTCAAGAGAGTTAACTCCAGCAGAAAGCAGAGTGGGGAGACCTGGCTCTGCAGACCTGGCGGGCTGAGAGAGACGTGGGGTGGAGCGGGCTGACGGCGTCCCGAGCACTTGCACCGGAAAGGCACCGAGAAGCCAGGGAGCAGCTCGGCCACGTTCATTGCTCGGCCTCAGTTTTTTCGCAGACTCAGCATGCTCATTGCCCGAGCCTTGCCGTTCTGGTTTCATGACATTTACTGCTGGTTATGCTGGTCATAATGTAATGAAGTAGCCGTCGATTCTTCATTTATTTCTTTAGTAGCAGGTAACCTCCACCCCATGGAACCGTCAAACTTCCCTTTATGCACAGAGTCGAGGCACATTTATGCAGAAACCATTCGTCAGTTTTATTCCTTGGATTTTCAAGAAGGATGGAGGGGCAGCCGGAAGCATAGTGGTTAAGGTACTGGGCTCCTACATGGCTGACCACTGTTTGAGTCCTGGAGCCGGTGGCTTGAAACACACTGGGTGCTTATGTATGCGTGCCCAAAATTCCGAGAGGAGAAGGGATTGTGTGGCCATCTCCCCTGGGGGGTGATTCCTTGCTTTCTATCTCTGTCTCTGTCCTGTGAGCTCATGCACCCTATAACAAAAATTTCTCCAAAAAAACTATGCGTGCTTCCTCAGGTCAGTGACAAGGTATATGCGGGAGATATATATATATGTGTGTGTATATATATATATACACACACACACACATATACATACATACATACATATTTCCTGTCCCCTACAAAAGCATATGTTGGACACAGTTAAGATTTGTCCCTTTCAAAAAGGGTTCTTTGCGGGAGGAACAGTGGAAGATGGCTAATTTATAATCTGCAAAATAGTTCTAAGCAATTAGATAAAAAGATAATGTAATCTTTGATATCATTGTTGTCTAGTTGACAGAGCAATGCAATCTGGGAACATAAATAGCCAAAGGAAGATTTTTATTTTTGTAATTCTTATTTGGTGTATTTTTGAGCCTGGAGTTAGATGCTGTGTAACTGTGTCTTAAGAGGAGTTGACGCATCCCCACTCCCCACCAGAAACCGGATAGGTCTGTGTCCTGCGCACAGCACTTCAGAGCGGGACCTTGTCTGTAGACCGGGCTGTGCATGTGTAACTGGGTTAAAGTGAGTACAGGCCCTGACCCCGTGTAGCTGGTGCCCTTGCTTTCTTGTTGCTTGCTTTTTAATGGTTGAATGTATTTTCATCACAAACTTACAGGAACAGCACAGAAGACAGACCACATTAAAAGTGTGTACTTGCCTGTGGGCGGCTTGGAAAAGTACAGTGAGTGGATGGAAACTGCTGTATGATAAAAATGCTGCAGACGGGGCCGGCAGGTCGTGTGGTGGTTGAGGGCACTGGACTCTCACATGGCTGACTGCAGTTCGGGTCCCGAACCTGGCGGCTTGCTTTTTCACTTTCTCTTTCTGTCTCTCATTCTGTGCCTCTCTGGTCAAACTGAAAGAAAGAAAGAAAAAGAAAGTTAAAAAAAAAAAGAAATTTTTAAAAATTGCTACAAACACCATTTAGTTGCCGTCAATAAAAAAATTTGTCTTTAAAAATTCCAAATACTGGTATTGTCCAGAAAAATGTAGCAGTTTTATTTAGAATTGTCATATAGTTGAACTGCTGAAAGTTGTCCACCAAAACATTTTGACTCATTAATGCCTTTTTTAATCCCTGTATTTATATTAAAAATCCACAGACAAATGAAAAATGGCACCTGATTTCTGTCCTCTCTCTTCCATTCATAGTCATATACTTAGGTATCTTTTCACCCCATGGGGAAAATAAAAACATCTGATGTTCAGAACTACCAGTAACAGGGAGAAGAGAAAACAATTTTTTTGAGAATGAAATGTTTCCTATCATTTTCTTCACCCCTCCAGGAGAGGGCGCACTCTTGTGAGTGACCTTTGCAGCCAGTTGCTTCCTGGGTGCTTTACCACTGGTGGATCTGCGGGCCGTTTGCTCTGTGCGAGCCCTGGGGTAGAGACCTCACTTAACCATCCTTGGGCTGGAGCTCGGAGCTGGTGTTGGAGAACCACGACTGATGCACATGATTTTTTTAGAGAGATTTTTGCTATAGGGTGTGCTCACTCACTGGAGAGACGGGGACAGAAACCAAGAAATCACCTTCCAGGGGGGATGGCCATGCCACAATCCCTTCTGCATTCTCCTCTCGGGATCGTGGGCATGTATGCACTCACACCCACGTGAGTTTCAGGCTGCAGGGTCTGAGACTAACCATGGTCCACTGGGAGTCCAGCCACAAAGCCATTAAGCCATTTGCTTATTTTTCAATTTGACCAGAGAGAGAGAGAGTGAGAAAGCAAGCTGCCAGGTCTGGGACTTGTGAAAATGTTCTAATACTAACAGTTGAAATGGATAGTCACAATTACCTAATTTGAAGAGAAAAAGTAGTTTTCTCTACTTGGGTATTACAACAACCAGAACTAGTGAAGAATTACATTGCTGACCAAGACCCAGTTTTTCAATTATCCGTGATGTGAGTTTGAGTGAAGCAGTAACGGCCTTGACAGTCGTGGGAGAGACACCGGGCCTGAGTTCCAGTTCTGCCAGTAACTGCATGGTCCTTAAGTCCTCGTTTCCTGGATGATGGGGGAGGGGTTTCCAATCTTTTCTTCTTCCTGAAATAGATCGTCTCTTCAAGCCAAGGTGTAACATACAGAGTAACTCTTGAGGATTCGGGGAGCCCTCAGACTGCCCCTGGGGCTGCCTTCCTGTGCTCTGAAGGCGTCCCTTTGAGCCCTAGATGCCGTCTGTGTCCTCAGTACCCTACGGAGGTTCTTTCTGAGGTCACGGTCCGTGTGGAGGACTGTCACCAGGCGGCTCAGCCCAGCGGGGCATCCGTGGAGGAGCACAGCGACCCATGGTCACGCTTGGCGGCTCTCACTGGGCGTCTGCTCGGCGTCTCGTCCACGTCCCCACCTGTCAGGTAGGTCGTGGCCCACAGTCACAGAATCGGAGCAACCAAAGCGTTTTCCCAAATCAGGCTCTAGTGATTCCCAGTCAAGACTCAACCCCGAGTTTGTTTCACAAGCCAAGTTTCCCGAGCAGTGCATCGCATTTAGTTTTTGTCTCACCTCAGACCGTATTGTAGGTTTGTCAGTGTTTGTGTTTAGGCTCTTTTTTCCTTTTTTGAGCTAGAGTTGAGTCACTAGGAAGAGAAAAAGCAGAATAAAATGTAATGAGTGAATTTTATTAATATTCAGTGGAGCGTTTTCAAGTCCGCCTCTTTTCCACGGCATATTGGTGCTATTGAAGTGCATCAGTGGGACCAGCCGTTCGTGTAAAGTGCATCAGTACATCAGGAAATACAGCTCGCAGCTCAGCCCCGTGGAAGAGTGATTTAGGCCAACCGCTCGGCCTGAACCCCAGCCTGGAGGCTTGAAAATGCGCCAAGCACCTGTCACACAGGCCCAGACCCTGACAGGATGGAGGGAGAGAGGAGAAGGGATTGCGGTGCGACCACGGACCACGGGGGGGAAGTCCCTCTTTCTCCCTCTCTTCCTTTCCCTCTCTCCCTCTCCGTCCCCCCCCCCATCACTCTGTCTCTGGCAAGCTCATGCACTCCCTTGCAGATTAAACAGGCCCTGTCACCTGGTGGTTAAGGGAGCCAGATCCCCTGTGGTCAACCACACGGTTTAGAACTGGCCTCAGTGTTGGGACCAGCAGTTGGTGTAATGGCTATGTCACTGGACTCCATGTAGTGGACTGCGGTTCGAGTCCCAGACCCAGTGGCTTAAACTCAACGCTGGGTGCATGTGCGTGTGTGCCCAAGATCCCTAGAGGAGAAGGGATTGCGTCTTGGCCATCCCCCCAGGGTGTTACAGGAGAAGGGATTGCATCTTGGCCATCCCCCCAGGGTGTTATCTCTCACTTTCTGTCTGTCTGTCTTACTGGCGAGCTCATGTGCCTATAGCAAAAAAAGCTCTCAAAAAAAAAAAAAAAAAAACTGACCTCAGTGTCTTTAAAAATCACTGAACTATATACCGGCGTGCCCCAAATCCCATCAGATGGGCTGAAACCATAACCTTCATTCATGTATTCATTCCTGCACCGCGTGTTTGCTGAGCACCTATTAAGTGCTGAGTGCACACTCAGGGTACAGCAGTAAAGTCCTCGGGGGAGTCAGTTCTAGCGGGAGACAGGGACAAGGAAACCAGGCTGTTTCCCAGGAAACGAGTGTGAGGAAGCCCAGCAGGATAGGAGGGCCCAAGAGAGACGGGGAGAATAAGACGGGGACACCAGCCCCTTGTCAGCGTTCCGGACTAGTGG